GTGCTTTTTTGATTCTTGTATTATGCTGGAACTGGAGGTGGTGGAGTAAGAGTCCAATTTGCATCGTTTCATGACCATGTTATTAAGAATAAAGTAAGATTTATTAATGTTACGTTTCATAAAAACCATGCTTATTTTGGAGGAGGGCTCTCGTTTTTCACTTTTCCAACGTACAGACATAGATCCAATAGTAACGACCTTTTCTTTTACAATTGCACTTGGAATAAGAACATTGCTAGGCTCGGCTCAGCAATAGATCTCTCACTTTGGAACATTAAAGGTTTTAGTGATGGCTCTCTTGTAGTCTCACCCTATTTTGAGGAGTCTACATTTGTCAATAACACTATCAAATATACTAAATACTATGGTACTCCAACTGGTATTGGTGCAGTCTACACTGACTCAGTGCCTCTCAACTTCACTGGAAATAATAACTTTTCAGGCAATGTTGGTTCTGCTCTTGTTGCTTTAGATGCCACTGTAGAGTTCAGAAATAACTCTCGCACCTATTTTGAAGGTAATGAAGGCTTGTCTGGAGGAGCAGTGACACTATTTAGCAAAGCATTCCTTTTGTTTGGAGGCAATTGTAGTACTGTTTTCCATAATAACAGTGCTACTTTACATGGTGGTGCCATTTCTTGGCAGAGTGTTGGGGATCATCAATTGATTTCATCACGTAACTGTTTTATTCGATATTATAATACTAGTGCAGATCCTACTGATTGGAATGTCACATTTAATTTTGATGGCAACAAGGCTGGGTTTTCTGGTGATGCTATTTATGCCACATCGCTCCTTGGATGTCTGTGGGGTGGTAAGTCATACGGTAGCCTTTACAACGACACTAAAAAGGAATATCTAACTGTCTTTTGTTGGAATAACAAAACAAAGATATGGAACTATAATAGCGAATGTAACAGTACTAACAGTACTAATCTTATTGCTACTTCACCTGCTTATTATTCTAATGAAACAAATGGTACACAGTGTGGAAAATATGAGCAGTACAATATATCTGTTGTGCCTGGAAAACCTACAAAATTGGATAGTGTCATGATGTTAGATGATCGACAGAATAGAATTAGCCAGGATTCTGTAGTATACATGTATACTACTTGGAACAATGAAACCAAGAAAAATGAAACAAGGTATGTCACTAATGAAGCACTACCCTATAATATAACTAGTAAGATTATAGACTTGGGTACTGTAATACCTCGTGTAATGGCAACTACTGTGAATCTTAGTTTCACCTCTTGCCCACCTGGTTTTTCTAATGAACAGTATGGAGAACCATGCAAACGTGGCAATCTTCCATTTGTTAACATTTATAGCAATTTCTCAGCTGACATACAGTTTGGGTACTGGATTGGCAAAATAGGTGATGATGATAGTCGTTATTATGTTGGTGAGTGCTATTTCTGTCCATGGAACATTACCACTATAAATGGAAGTCATGTAGTTCATCAGAATTACATTCATCTTCCTGAAAATGAGACACAATTGGACTCGTTTCTTTGTGGTGGGTTGAACAGGACTGGTACCCTTTGTGCAAAGTGTAAGTCTAACTATTGTACTGCTGTTAATTCGTTAAAATACAAATGTATTGACATTGGCTCTCATAAGCATTATTACTCTTACACTTGGATATTTTACCTGTTGTTTGAGTATGTC